GAACCAATAATGATTTCTTAATTCTGTAAAAAGCATTGTTTTTGCCATGCTTTCTACTTTTTATTGACACAAAGAAAAGTAAAGTTGAACCAGTATTACCGCGTTTTCATGGCGAAAGCCCTGAAACTTATTGAAAAGACCTCGTAAGTAAAAGAGCCTGAAAAAATCCCGGGTAGCAATGCTTTCGATGATTCCTAAGTAATTTTTGACGCTGAATCCGAATTTCAACTTTGCACCAAAAAAAATCGGACCGGAAAGTGGCCAAATTTGGCAAAAATGGCCTAAAATGGGCCTTTCTTCCGGATTGTGGGCTGTAACTTGCCTAAAATTGATCTGAGGATAAAATTAGTTCTTCCCAAAAATAAAGCTCGTTAAAGTTCCTATAAAAAAGTTCCTATACACTTATTTGCTCAAGGCAAAATTAAGCGCGCTGGCGGGCACCGAACTTTGCAAAATGAGCGAAAATCGCGTTTTTTGCGGTTTGTGCAAAAATCCCGGGTTATAGTAATGCTTTCATTGACTCCTACCTACGTAATTTTTCACGCTGAATCCGAATTTCGACTTTGCCCCAAAAAATTTGGACCGGAAAGTTGCTGATATTGAACCCGAAACCCGAAAACATTGCTACCCGGGATTTTTGCAGGCTATGGTCCCATTTTTGGCTTATTTGCCTGGACTACTAGTGAAATGTAAAAATGTCCTTTTTTTAACCCAGATACCCAACGTCGTGGGGTAACTAACTGGACTACCCCCCCCCCCTTAATTTTTAAGCTGGAATTATTTTTAATTCTCATCGGCCAGGCAGTGATGTCCTTCTCATGAAGGTTGAAGAAAATGTCATTTAAATTTAGGTATATAAAAATGTTTTAGTGGTTAAAAATGATGTTGTAACGGTTGGCGGCAAAAAACTCTCAAATCCGAGAATCGAATAGGTAACGGTCACAAAAAAATGTTTCCTTCTAGATAAATGCTTTGAACTTTACGTATACTACTTATCATGAAGTATTATATTTCAGAACATTTTTTGGACAGTTTCAGTAAGATTAAGGTTATAAATTTTTAAAAGAATAAGTAAAAAAACATTAACCGCAAGGCTGATTACGGTACCTAGAGTAAAGCGCCATAAAGTTCCTGTCTAAGCTTAAGGTTCCTGTCTAACTTTAGGTGTTATTAAATTCATTTTAGGATGAGGCTCATGAATTATTTTGACTGAATGTAATGAAACAAAAACTTCGAACAAAGATTCGAACGGGGCAGGTGGCACCTGCCCAGTTACCTTGGAGTGGGTGACCAGTTACCCCACTAGGTTGGTCCTCATTTTGGACTTTTGAGAAATTGTAAGGTCGGAACCCTGCAATCGATTCCTTTTAATGTAAAAATAACGGGGAAAAAAAGAAAAAAAATTAAAAATTTTTTTTACCCATGTCGCAATGGCGCCAAAGTTGAGGCGATTTTCAGCAAATCGGGCTTTATTTCGCCCTGAACTTTGGGCTTGCATTATTGCATGTAGACGAATGAAAATGTGCACTAGAATACATTTTTCAGCGTACCAATACGACACCGGCATTGCCGGTGTCGTATTGGGCGAAAATAGTCGACTTCTAACAACATAGTTTTGACAAAAAATAATAGTTTTGGTCGCAGGGTCAGATCATTTAGATTCCGACATTTGCTTGCTGTGTGCATTACGCGATTATTATTCTCTTCAGGTAGTATCCCTTAACAACGCGTGAATTTTCTGTCTCTTGGACCAAAACTATTATTTTTGGTCAAAACCATCCTATTATAAGTTGACTATACCTTCGGTTCATACAAGAAATATTTCTCCGAAAATTAAAAAAGTAATCCATTTTTGCCGAAATGCATATACCTATTTGCGCAAAAATAGCGTTTTCGGTCAAGTTTCCGAATTTTTAAAAAAATACTTTCGTGGTCTGCGCGCCTGATTGTGTAATTTATATCAAAAGTAGTCTATTAGAAGTCGACTACCTTAAATTTTCATGGCGATAGCAATATTCTTTCAAACTTTAAAAAATTAGTCAACTCGCTAATTTGTTTCCCATCTGCGCCTGAAGAGTGTTTTCGGCCAAGTTTCCAAATTTTTAAAAAATACTTTCGTGTCTCGCCCGCCCAAATGTTTCATTTATATCAAAAGCAATGTGTTAGGAGGCTACTATCTGAAATTTTCGAGGCTCTATCGTGACTGCTTTGTCAATAAAAGAAATCATCAAATCGTCAAAAATCGTGTTTTTCCGTAACTTTGAGGGTTTGATACATACGTTTGCACATGTTTTTAGCCCAAATTTGATGATTTTGCGTGAGAGAACGCTGAAAATATATGCAAATTTTCATTTGTTTACATGCAATTATGCAAGCCCAAAGCTCAGGACGAAAAACCGTAAAAGCCCGATTTGCTGAAAATCGTATTTTCGCGGGCCTCAACTTTGGCGCCATTGCGACATGGGTAAAAAAATTGTTTAATTGTTTTTTCTTTTTTCCCCCGTTATTTTTACATTAAAAGGAGCCGATTGCAGGGTTCCGACCTTACAATTTCTGAAAAGTCCAAAGTAAGAACCACCCTTTACCCCACGAAGGGGAAAGAGGTATATGCATCTCCCATGAATCGGGCCCAGAACCGAATCTTGTCATAATTTCACCCTTTGTAAAGAGGGGTTAGAGAAGTTCAAAAATGGTGGACTTTTTGATCCAGTCCACCGGGGGGAGGGGGCGGGGGGTCAAAGAAAAATCAACTGCTAACCGTAACTTTTGAAGGATTGCAGAAATCGAGTTGAACTTTCTTTTAAATGAAAACAAAAAAAGACCTTCCTATCGAGTATAATAAATTGACGATCGGTTAATTTTTGACAAAGTTATGGCTCATCGAATTTTTTGAAAAACTTTTATTTTTGATTTTTCAATTTTTCGACGTGAGGAGGCGAACGAAATGTTATTAATATGTAAGCAGAAGATAGCCCTTGTTGTTCTCTTTAAAATGAGCTTAAGAACATGTTGGGGAAATGGTTAATTTTGGCGTTATGCTGTTTCAAAGTTGACGCGACAGGGTCCGTACATGGGCATCGTGTTCCAGATGTCTGACATCATAATGAAGGAATACCAACTGTGAAAACAATTTTAGCACTAAAAGGGTAGAAATATAGAGGGTAACTGGGCCATACCCTGCGATAACTGGCAGTTACCCGACCTCCTCTTAACTCCTTGTAACCCGGACTAAACTTGTCAATTCATAGAGTCTTTAACGCGCCTTGGGTATACTTATTGGTACTTATGAATACGTAGGCACGCTTTTGATTTCATTTTCTATGAAGCACACGACCAGCCCTGTTAACTAGAGTACCTGTATAGCGAGAGTACAGACAGATGTGAAACTCCGAAAATCCATCAGGCCTTCACCGATGCCTCCGCGAATAAAATTAGGGCCCAGAAATGCAGCCAACCTATGAATTTCAATTATCCAGAGCGATTTATCAATACAACTGTTACGAACCATCGTTTATAAAGCACGTATTTGACTTAGTTTTTGCATAAATTTACTCATTTTTGTGGAAGAACGCTCATTTAAGTACTTTCTTCGCCATCTTCGTTAGAATTGGAATCTACAGACTGGCAGTGAAATTTTGTGCGTTAGAAGTTGGTTAGAAGGGTGGCTGCACTTTTGGGCCCTAAGCCCTCCATGAAGCGATCTGTCCATACTCTCGCTATACAGGTACTCTACTGTTAACGTACCTACTTTTCAATGGGTTTTGTGCACCTAGAGTGCCTTTATATTATAGGTAGTGCCTTCTTTATTTACTTATTCATATTCGAGAATGACGGTCAAAAAACGCCGAACAACGAGAGAGGGACATAGGTAACTAACTATAGCGGAAAGCCCGTGACTTCAGTCACGGGTCTAGATGCTTCATCAATAATTATTAATTCAATAACGGGGAGCATTAGGCCGATATTGTTTCGGGGATGATACCACTAGGTACCACTATTCGACCAAATGCTGGGAGGTTGTTTTGCCTGAGTGCATGAGCGTGCCATTTCACGGTGATACCGCTATTCGACCACGTGGAAGCTCCTGTTGCCTACACTGAAATTGAAGGGTAAATGAAATGACGTTAATTTCATCTTCTCCAGTTTGGTGAAATGCTATTTTTTAAAAACGCTCCAGGTAACCGTGCAATTTCACGATGAAACAGCTATTCCACTATTTCCACGTTCTTATTTTATTTAAATCTCCCTCTCACTGCTTTTTTCTTTTTACTTTTTCATTTCTTCTTTCTGGTTAGCTTCTCCCACTTTCATTATTTTCTTTTCCTAATATATAGGTAACTCTAACAAAATCGAATCTTTTGGGGTCTCGCATCGACCCCATACATTAGGTAACATTGTAAATCCCCGAAGGACTTGCCAAAAATTGTTCAATAGTGTTTTTCTCGTTGTTTGTCGCTAAACAATTCTTGGAAATCCTCAAAATAGGATTCCGCTGCGCCACAGCGCGCGAGGGCCGTATAGTCGCACAAGGACTCATTGTCAGCGTTGCCACCTCTCTTGACCCTTCGAATCTTTGCATGTTCGAGTGCGATTCCTATCCACTTGAAGAGATAAATACATAATGATGATGAGTTTTCATGGTCTTATAAACACGTTCAACGTCAGTTTTAGGAAATTTCAAGGAAATATTGTCACACCTCGTGGGAGAAACGCCGCTGAACAATTTCTAGCAAGTCCTTATAAGATTTCCCACGTTAATATTTAAGGTCAATGCGGGACCCCGAAAAATCCTATTTTAGGGTGAAATTTGGCATAGGGCTCTTTCATATGTTTAAAAAAAGATTTCAGCCAGGTATGCACCGATTTTTGCAATTCGGGGTTCTTTTATACACCTTAGGGGCAACCACCGATGCTTGAGCGCCGGCATCGAGCATATTGCGGCCTACATGTGTAAAAATCCTTTGGTGTCTCTTTAATTTGATGCTAACGTATTTTTTTAGTTTGTCAGGTCTACTGTTGTACCACTGACTTGCGAAGACAATGTATAGCGAACTGCAATACGTACAACAGGTGTTTGGATCTCCTGCAGTTGGTGCTCCCGAAGACTTAAGTGCATAAAACAACACAGCTACAACTGCCCACCGTTCAACTTCATTAGGTACACAAATCAAGAGCCATAAATTGTACAGTTTCTTTTTTTGTCTTTTAGATTGATAACCTCTTCTGTGATATTTGATGATTTAACGTTAGACTTAAGTGCATTTGTTATAATGTAGTAAAGAATATTATACCTTTCTACCTGACTTTATTTTTGAACTTTCTTCAAATGGTGACCTTAATTCGGACTGGATACTAAAATTACCTACCTAATCTTAGAGTCTCTTCATACCCAGAGCTAAGACATCTCAATTATCAGCTGGCTTGGGCTGGCCATGGTGTCACAAAAGTCTGCACCCCAACGAACAATATATTGAGGGATAAAGATAAGGAATCCTGCGACGTCTGTCATCCAAAAACAACATCATCAACAAAACTGATCATGACCTAACTAAAAGACATTGCAATAAAATAAAATGAGATTGATTTGTGAATAATTTCTTAATCTATTTTTATTTTGGTGCGATGAAATTAACAATTTTCTCTTGATAAATCACATTGGATTAGGTTTCCAATATTTTTGTTTACATTCGAGCCACCGCTATCTTGGTGCACTTTTATACGACACCATGAGCTAGAACCAATCAGAATTGGATTTTTTTAAGGCCACTTTTAGCCCAACCTAGAGTCCCTTTATACCCAGAGTTAAGACATCTCGATTACCTATCAGCTGGCTAGCAGCCGCTAGGCTGGCCATGGAGAGCACAAAAGAGTGCACTCAAACGAACGATACTGGGGGATAGGGATAAGGAATCCTGTGATGTTTGTCATCCAAAAACGACAACGTCAACAAAAGTGATCAAAAGCTAACCAAAGACATTGCAATAAAATAAAATCACATTGATTAGTGGATAATTTCATAATCTATTTTCATTTTGGTGCTATGAAACTAACAATTCACTCTTGATAAACCACAATTTAGTTGTATTTTCATTACTTTTGTTCACATTCGAGGCACCGCCATCTTGGTGCACTCATTTGTGACTCCATGTGCGAGAACCAATAAGAATTGGATTTTTTTTAGGCCACTTTCAGCCCAACCAAAAGTGAGTTGTCGTAACTCTGGGTATAAGGGGACTCTAGCTAAATGTGAGTGTCAACAGTCAGCGCTCAACAGCTAAAATTTCACTAATTCGAGTTACATTCATCCAAATGTATATCAAATCTATTCGAATAGTTCAGACAAATCCGACATTAATCGATGGTCGCTGAGAATCGTTGCTGAATTTTGCGCGGGACGCGCAAAATTCAGGCATCGGGCCGATGACTTCCACTTTCAAGTCACATTCAGCTCCCACCTTATTCAGCGTGTGATTGCGGCATCGGTCCATGGCTTGGTGTCGGCGACGAATCAACATTCACCACCGTACCCAGGGCTGCACTTTAAAAAAAAAAAAAAAAAAAAAAAAAAAAAAATTCACACTTCTTCGCTAGCGGTGACCCAAAATAGAAAATTCCCCAAATTTGTTCCTATTCGCCCCTGGATTCCTATTCACCCCGGTTTACAGTACCTTTTCAAATTTCCTTTTCTTTAATAATTACGTACAGCTTGCACTACTCGCGATCTTACCTCTATACAGGGTTATCCAAAAGTCACTGACCACCCCTGTAACTTTTTTCCAAATTGAGATAGAAGTTTGAAACTTTGGGAATGTTCCTCGGTCTAAAGTAGCAACTTTCTGGTCCCCCCAAAATTTTCGGGGGCGGGGGCTAACTTTTTTTTCAAATGGCAACCCCCCCTTTGTGATACCTCATTCGAAAGATAATAAAAAAAGAAAATTTTTGGCGCAAACCGCAAGTCAAAATGTTGATTTTTGACAAAATGGCGGCCGGTCAAAGTTCAAAATGGCGGAAATTTGGCATCTCCGTTTTTTATTGGCGGATTGGTCTGAAACTCGGAATCTAAGGGTTTTTTGGGACGAGAAAGACGATTGTGGCATCGGTTTTCCAGAAAAGTGAGTCCTTTTCAAAATGGTGGCGATCAAAATGGCGGCCTAGAGTGGGAAGTGGATATTTAGGCTGCATATCGTTGGATTTGCAGGAAACTTGGTTTCTGGGGGTGTTTCGGCACGAAAAGAACGAATCTTTCATCGGATATCTGAAATTTTGAAAAATTCCGAAATGGCAGCGAAAAAGTGGCGAGAAATCAGTTTTACGGCTGTTTACCGATGTATTTGCATGAAATGCGATATCGATTATTTAGTATTTCAAAAATTAATGAAAGATTTCTGTTTATCCAGCCAAAAACCACCAGGATATCGAATTTCATGCAAATCCATTGGTAAACAGCCGTAAAACTGATTTATCGCCACTTTTTAGCCGCCATTTTGAAATTCGTCGGAATTTTAGATATCCAATGAAAGATTCGTTCTTCTCGTGCCGAAATACTCCCGGATACCAAGTTTCATACAAATCCAACGATAAGCAGCCGAAATATCCACTTCTCGCTCTAGGCCACCATTTTGACCGCCGCCATTTTGAAAAGGACTGACTTTTCTGGAAAACCGATTCCACAATCGTCTTTCTCGTCCCAAAAAACCCTTAGATTCCGAGTTTCAGACCAATCCGCCAATAAAAAACGGAGATGCCAAATTTCCGCCATTTTGAACTTTGACCGGCCGCCATTTTGTCAAAAATCAACATTTTGACTTGCGGTTTGCGCCAAATATTTTCTTTTTTTATTATCTTTCGAATGAGGTATCACAAAGGGGGGGTTGCCATTTGAAAAAAAAGTTAGCCCCCGCCCCCGAAAATTTTGGGGGGACCAGAAAGTTGCTACTTTAGACCGAGGAACATTCCCAAAGTTTCAAACTTCTATCTTAATTTGGAAAAAAGTTACAGGGGTGGTCAGTAACTTTTGGATAACCCTGTATGATAATCTTCTGAAGCATACACACAGAAAGAAATCGCACGAAATGGACAGTTTTCATCGCCTCCAATTTCTCGAATCCTATATATTAAAACACAAAGTTCCGAATCTTTGGACGTTAACTTTGAGAGAACCACCGGACCGATTTGCCTGATCTTTTAAGCGCGGTAAGCATATACCGTGCTTCATGGTCTGGTTGCGAAAATCCGCGGCTGATACATGAAGCATCACCCATTGCATCCTGCGTTATTTTTAAAGCCTCTCCGTGACGGGAACGTAGTTGTATTTTCTCATCGTGATAATTAAACGTGGAGACCGTTTAGAGTGCTGGTAACAATTTTTTAATTAATGCCGTGAACAAAGGAATCTATTATGACCCCTGTCCTGCTAAAGCTGTCTAATATTTACGTAGCTACCAATTTGCTAAGAGCAGATCGCTTTTTTGAAATTTCCTTCTCGGTTACACGTCCAAGCTGCGAGGTCATGTAACAGGGTTTCCGCTTGGCTGTCATTCCGACAGGCAGTGAAGGCCAAGATACCTGCACCAGCAAGTTACCAAATGTCCAGTGACCCACCAATCATTGCTATGACGTCAAGAGACCCTAATCGTTGATTTCTCCGTCTTCTTCTCCTCCTTCACGGCAACACGTCATTCCTGCACCCCGTATCTCGGCTCCTAACATAGATTTTCGTAAAACTTGATATACCCCCCAGGAGGGCATGGGGGGGGGGTTTCGGGACCATGAAATTCGGATTTCTTGGGGTCGCTTGCCTACTCAACCCCACGGTAGGGTGTCCCTTGTTTTTTAAATTTGAGAAAAGTTAAGCTCCCCAGGTCTCAAAACGTGCTATAAGGTGTACAAATAAGGAATTTTTTTTGGAAAACATTTTAGCACTCTCTCAAGCGCCCTAAAGGGCGTCACTCGAAAATGTCAATTTCTGGCAGAGTGGATACCTAGTCAATTCTAGGTGAAATTGACGAATTAACGTCTGTAAGTCAATAATTTGGTCCGTTTGGTCGTATCTTTGATCGTTCAGCCGGTAAACCGACTTAAATGGGCGGGAAGTAGAGCCGCGGCCGTGCGCGGCTGACCGAGACGAGCCTTGCATCGCGCGGCCAGGCAGCGCCCGGCGACGCGCGTGGGCCGTATAAGAGGAACATGCAAACATACACAGCTAAACGTGGTGCAGGAAGCTACGATGGGAAGGCTGCAAAAGAAGACGAAACAAAGAAACGGGGCGTTTCGTTATATTAATTTTTCATGTTCAACTAGGAACAAAAAAAATATAAAAAAAATAAATTAATTAATTAATGAATAAATAAATGAAAATAAAAGGCTAAACATGAGTTGTTGATTCGCTGGTATTGCGAGTCGGAGACTCAATGTTGTTCTTCAGAGGGAGGACAATTAAAATTCTGATAAGGCTCTTAAAAATTAATATAAATTGTTTAATGTTTAAAAACGTCTTTGGCATGAAATTAGTCGGATTTATACCATTGTCAAACGTGCGTAGTAACATATTTTTGGTAACAATAGCAATATTAGATAGATCAACAAAAGTCGAAGCTTATCACAATTTTCGAAGTCATTAGCTAGAATTTTTTTTGGATATTTTATGAACATTGTTTGTGGAAAGAGACGACATGACACTTGTAGTAAATCGTGAAAGTCTTGCACTTTCAACTTTCTTATTAAATACCTACACCGAAAAAAAAGTAAAGTTGATTTAACATTCTGGATGTAAAAAAAGTGTACAAGAACTTGTAAAATGCTGAATTACCCGCCACAGCAGTTAGTTTTACATCTCAGTATTGCTATAGTAATTGCTGGAGCGGGTAATTCAGCATTTTTTAAGTTCTCGCACTCTTTTTTCACATCCATAATGTTAAATCAACTTCAGTTTTTTTTTTGGTGTATTTGCAAAAATTTAACGGCCCTTTCAGCATGGTCATTCACTACTTCAAGTGCTAAAACAATTTGGTATGCATGTATGTTTTCCGTGGTTTCTGGCCAATTAACTGGGACCATCTCTTGGGGTTCATCTTGGGGAAACGATTAGAAGCGGAGTTATG